ATATTCATACATCTCGACATCAATTAGAGAGTTTTTCATATTCGGCACCTTGGTTTTGTAAAGTTTGGCAAATGTATAACCTAAGGTTGTGCTCACAGAGTGTTGTTCTTGATTTCCATCAGAATGCTTACGTTGATTCTATGTATAGTAATTTTGTTTGCCATGTACAAGTGCTTTTAAACGACAAGACTCTGCCTCCAGGCATGCGTCTACATCATTGTGTTTATGTCCTCTTTCTAGTTGATGTGCGCAGTAGTTATTGCTAAAATTTTCCTAGTTTTATTTATGATCATTGGACCTCTAAGCTTCCTTCAGTTTTGGCAATTATAATTGTTTGATCATGTCTACACAGGTAAAGGAAATGAAAGAGAAAGCCATGAGTGCTTTGAGTCCATACTCTATCGGAAGATCACATGACCTTAGAAGTGATGAAAATTTAAATCTGCAACAAGACATTCAAACAGAGAGTGAACCATTTATTTCCCTTCTGGAGCTGGTTAGCGAGATTTATCAGGTTTCCACATTTCTTTCATATATGAAATTTTTCTGTTTGCATTGGGTGCAAAAGTCTGGTTGATATCATAGTTTGTGTCTTGAATTCTGTCTTGAGTTTGCATTGATGAAATATCAAATTGGAACATACTGCATGTTGACTAAAATTAGAAGTGGAACTAGGTGTTTTGATTTTTTCACTGCCTTGGAACTATTGCTGCAACATGTTGGAAATGTAAACTATCAGATTATAGAGATATGCATATTTGAGGATAAGTTACAAAATGAATGGGCAGTGTGCTATGAATGGCTCCTCATCAGTGGTGGAAAATTTTACTTATTAAAAGAATATTGATTTTCTTGTGGATGTTTTAGTTATTTACGGGCTTATGGTAAATGCAGCTTGTTCTGTAGATAGTATATAATAAATTTTACAATCCTTTGCTTATGTCGATACTTAAGTCCTTTAGAAGTTAAGAAATATGACAGGTGTCATGTATGAACTCGTACTAGTCACATTTATCTCTTGTTTCTGCTATTGCTTAACTTATTATTAGGCAAGCCTGATAGTTTATTAGGCCAAGTCCAAGTGACGCACTTAGAAAAATTTCTCATTATGATGCAACTGTAAAATATAGCATCATACAAATTTTTTTTTGAATCAGTTTGACTTGTATATTAGATTACAAGTTTCCATGCCAAATTATACATCACTTGGGCAATTTCCATGCCAAATTATACATCACTCGTATATTAGATTACAAGGAGCAGGTGCACCATACAAATTTCCATGCCAAATTATGCATCACTTGGGAAATTCATCAAACATCTCAAATTCAATCTGCTTCTACGCTGAAACAAACACAAGTGCATATTAGATTTGATCATGGGAAGCCAACTAAGTGAGCGTTTTCTGCCCATTTTATGGCCAAGGTCTTAGCTACATACCATGGAGTGGCTACTAGGATGGCACCAAGATTCAGGCTAGTTTTACATCATTTAAGAGGGAAGCAATTAGGCATTACATAACCTGCACGTCACATTTAAAGATATAAGAGGCTCATGACTTTGAATCCATAATGTTGGTGGGAGAAAAGGGGCCCAAATCACTCTCAATTTGGTGAACAATCAAGTAGTATGGGCATGGGCTAACTTTGACATAGTTTCTGCTAAAAGTTTGACCAAACTACATCAACAAGAAAGTGAATTAATTGACTGATTTGGATCCAAAAACTTGCAGAGAAATTAATCAATTAAACCCTTAGTTAGTGGGTCTTCTAAGGAGGGGGTTGCTTATGCTTTGGAAGCTTGATCTCGTGCTCCAAGACATGGGATCTCGATTCCGAGCGATTCCTTGATATTTGAGATGTCAATTTGTGAAATCGAGGAACTTGATCCCTTGTAATGGAATGCATATCCCTATTCCCAACATCAAGGTTCTATGCTTAAGAAAAGCCACGATTTTACCAACTTGGAATCGAGTATCCTCTACTTTATGTTTGAGGTTCACCAGCTTGTTTTTTGGTTCGTATACAATGGGGTATGGATCTCCAATTTTTTATGACTTACACCAACATGTTTTTTGGTTCGTATACAATGGGGGTATGGATCTCCAATTTTTTATGAGTTACATATATTTTGAATGCCATGATTTTCTACCTATATTGCAATTAATAACTTTACACACCTTGCGAATTATGACTTGTGTCTAGTTTCAAAGAAATGCAATAAGTGACTTGTGTCTAGTGTGAAAGAAATGCTATAAGTGAGCGAGGAGAGAGAATGGAGTAGTTGGAAGGAGATACAAAAGTTTGTTGTTTTGGAGTCCTAATGAGGAATAAGGTCGCGATCAAAATGTTTATCTTCCTTGCGACTAGTTCATTGGGTCTTGTCCACCTCTTGAAGGACATTTATCGTTTGAGTGTTGGTCAACCAAATCGAGCCACTGGTCAACCAAATCAAGCCACTCATGGGGTTTCCTTATGGGTGATGGAATGATGTGTTTTCTTGGAAAATGCGAGGTCTCTCTCGTGTATATATCTTTGAGCCACTAGCAATCTTCGATGGAGGAGAGCTACAAGGAGTTAGATATGACAATGTCTTTCCAGAGTTACCTGAATATCTTTGCCAAGGTCGCTATTCCGGTTCGAAATCTTGATTCGACGATTACGAGAAGGGATCTTCATAGAAACCATTTCCTAGAACTTAATAATCTAGATTCCATAAGTTAGGAATCTCGTTTCATACCTTTGTAGGAATCTCGATCCCATTATTTGCGGAATCTCAACCCCAAATTTTTCGAATATTGATTCCAACATTTATTGAATCTTGATTCCACGTCTGCTGATTCCACATGTGATGAATCTTGATTCGTTATGATTTTGAATCTAGAATCTACAACATAAAATACCTTGGTTTGTAGGAGCAAGGAATTGTGATTCAATCAACATAGAATTTTGCTTTGACCTGCATAAGATACCTGTTTGATGTCAAAATCTCTCTCTACCCACGTTTTGTGGTTTAATTCATACAATAATGTATCCATGTATGTTCCTGACGTTGAAACTGAATATCTCCCATACCACAATGGCATAATGTGAATGCAAGCAAAAATAAAATAAAATAAATAAAGTAATTTAAAAACAATTCAAAGTACATAATGTTTAATCACCTGAATGTTTACCACTTCTTTAAAGTAATTGGCGTAGAAATCTTCATTCAATTCGAATGCTTCTAATAGTGTGAATGCTTCTAATAGTGTGAATGCTTCTAATAGTGCTAGGATTGGCTCAAATCACATTTCTAATAGTGCTAGGATGGACTGCCTTTTCTTTAAAATTATAATTGGTTACTACAACATACAATAAATGCCACGGCATAGAGAAAATCCTATTTTGTCTGTATAATTATAATGTCAAGATCACAATTTAGAAATACATGGGATAACATTTTTGTCTTTTGTAGATAATTTCCCAAGTGGACTACTTGACCTAAGTTCAATAATGAATTCATTGACTTCAAATCTGAGGAACTCTTCTATAGGTCTAATAAGAGACATTTGATATCGATTACTTAAATAGTTTCTAAGTCGATAAAGCGCGAGATGCTATTGTTATAGGAAACTTGTTTCTTTGGGGCTTCGTACTTGACTCCATAGAGTAACAAATCTTGATTGCCAATTGGGATCATGCTCGATTCTAAACTAATATGAATCTTGATTCCAAACTGGCATAAATCTTGGTTCCACATACGTAAGTAACTCGATTCAAAATATGTCGGAATCTTGATTCCAATCTGATGCGAATATCGATTCCACATACATTAGAAACTCTATTCCTAAGATTTCAAAATCTCGATTCCTTGGGGGTTGATTTCAAGGAGGTAGGAATCTCAATTCCAAGGAGGTCAGAATCTTGATTCCATTTGTGGCAGAATCTCGATTCCATTTTGATCAATTCTCAATTCCCAAAAAATAGCAATGTCGCTCCCTACGATTCCCATTGTACGGATGTCGATTCCGAAAACAAGAATCTTCTAGCCGGTCGCGATTCCGCGATTTCGATTCCTAAAATGATTCGGGTTCCTAGGCGTTTCCAACAGCTATGGTCTTTCTTTTGCCCTTCTTGTTCAATGGAATTCGCTCCTTGATTACAATGCAGTGGAAGTGAACTTCCGGAACTTTGATCCTAAACACAAAGGTGCGCAATCCCATTTAATAAGGAATACACTCCTCTGCAGATATAGAATGCGCTTCCTAATAGTCAGGATCTCAATCCTAAACCTGAGCTCTTGTCGTTCCCGTTCTCGCTAACTATGATTAACTCTCAAGAATTCTCAATCAAAATCTGTCCAAATTTGGATCAATCAACTAGGAATTGAAGACTCATACTCAAGGATCAAATTAAGCTCAAATTCTAATGAAACAAGAAGGTAAGGGGCTAACATACCTTGCTGTAAATGCTTTCTCAAAAAACATACCTTGCTGTAAATGGAGATTTGCAGCCACCAAAAACTCCATAGAATAATGATTTGATGATGAATTCTCCAAAATTAAGTCATTATGGAGCTATGGTTTCATCTCTAAGCTTGAGATGAAGCTTCAATGGAGCATGAATCTCACTTGTCTCTCAAGTCTCATTCTTTACAGATCATACTTACAAAGAAGAGAGTGATAGACTCAAGAAAGATATCCTATGTAAGTGAAGGATAGAGATGAAGGGTGTGCCACTCAATGGGAGAGTTTCTCTCTAAATGTTTTTCAAATGGTGTAGAGAGAGGTAAATAGTAGGGCATGCCACTTATGGGGAGATTAAATCATCTCAATTTAGCTATCATTGGGGCTCTTATGAGCAAGTGTAGAGATGCTTCTACATGAATTAATCTTGGTAATTAAAGTCAATCATCTGTGGTATGAGAGAGGGCTTATCCTAGTTATTCATCACTCATCATGACATCTTGATGACTGGTAAACACCATATCCTCCCATGAAAAAGCTAAATCACTCCAAATTCCCTTGGTTAATATCAAAATCAAATTCACATAAAATTCATCTTGCTTCCATAATTGTCCATGCTAACTCAATTTAATGAAAAAGCATAGGTAGAGAGTTACCCCTCGAGTAATTTTACATTTCCTCCAGTTCCATTTCAACTTGGTGTGCATGTGCACCCAATCTTATGATGCCACATAGGATCGATATATGTATATTTCTATATGGGCTTAGGGTTTCAATCGTGATATCAAACCCTGTACCCGTTCTAGAAGATTTCCCCCATGTACAACCACCAATCCCACAGGTCCCATGCTTCTACCTGTCTGCATAACATGATTTGCTGACTTACTAGTTGGGTCGCTCATGCTTCCCAAGAGGTCCCATTTTGTTATGGTGGTTGTGCCTTACGGCCATTATGTGGATGCATGGAGGGAGCATGGTAGCTGGATATTCTGGGGGAAGAGAGTAATGAGGGAGATCCTATTGAACCAAATCTAGTACCATGTTATTATCTGGTCGTGGGTTAGTGCAGAGTTTCATGATTCCAAGTTGTGATTTTGTAAGAAATAGGAGGAAAATTTCTTTTTTTACTGATGTGCGTGATTCCTTCTGAGACTTATGTGGCTGCTGCCATTGGTGGGAATTTTTTTAAAATGAAATTTGATGGTACTTAATGACATAATATGGATCTAGGAAGAATTGAAAGGCTATTGAGTGAGCACTAATGGTGGGGCCTTTGGGTGGTGGGGGTGGGGGGATGACGACTGGTGGGGCAAGGGGTTGTGTGACTTTCTTAGGGCCCTTAGCTTTTTCGTTCCTTTGGTCTAACTAAAGGAAGGCCTGACTGGTGGGTCTCAAATTGTACCTAGAAACCTTGATGGCCTGGTTGTGGTGGAGGGTGAGGGGCTCATTGTTATGAGGTGGGGATGTGCCTCTCCATCCTTGCGCCTAGCCAATGTTAAAAATCGGGTAGGCGGTCGCCTAGGGGGTTTGGGCTTTGGGCCGCCTAGGCGCTAAGGCGTCTGCCCATACCCAAAGACGGCCTATGTTATCTTTCTTTTTTTTTTGAAAGTTTGATCCCCCACACCTTTGCCCATTTTATTCTATATATTATAAAATAATAAATACAAATTAATACTATTTTTTTGGGTTTACTAATAAATTAATTACTATCAAATGCAAAAAGCATTTTCGATAAATTAATAATTACGAATACTACTATCTTTTGGTTTACCAATAAATTAGTAATTACTGTTACATGCAAAGAGCATTTTTGATAAATTAATAATTACAAATTAATACTATTTTTTTGGTTTGCCAATAAACCAAAAAAATATTACTATCGTATGCAAAATGCATTTTCGATTAATACTATCTTTTGGTTTACCAATAAGTTAATAATTATTGTTACATGTAAAAAGCATTTTCGATAAATTAATAATTACGAATTAATACTATCTGTTGGTTTACCAATAAATTAATACTTACTGTTTCATGCAAAATTTTTTTCGATAAATTAATAATAATGAATTAATATTATTTTTGATTTACAAATAAATTCATAAGAACTGTTACATGCAAAAAATATTTTCGATAAATTAGTAATTATAAATTAATACTATTTTTTAGGTTTACCAATAAATGTATAATTATTTTTTGCATGCAAAAAACATTTTTGATAAATTAATAATTACGAATTAATACTATTTTTTGGTTTACCAATAAATTGATAATTACTATCACATGCAAAAAACATTTTTGATAAATTAATAATTGTAAATTATTACTAATTTTTGGTTTACCAATAAATTAATAATGATTGTCACATGCAAAAAACATTTTCGATGAACTAATAATTATAATTAATACTATTTTTGAGTTTACCAATAAATTAATAATTGCTATCACATGCAAACAGCTTTTTTAATGAACTTATAATTACGAATTAATACTATTTTATGGTTTACCAATAAATTAATGATTATTGGTACATTCATAAAGTATTTTCGATAAACTAATAGTTACGAATTAGTACTCTTTTTTGGTGTACTAATAAATTAAGAATTATTGTTACATGCAAAAAGCATTTTTGATAAACTAATAATTACGAATTAATAGTATTTTTTTGGTTTATCAATAAATTAATAAATATTATCACATGCAAAAAGAAGTTTAGATAAATTAATAATTAATAATTACCAATAAAATAATATTTGCGAATTAATAATGACGTATTAACAATTACGAATTAATATATTAATTATTACGAATTAGTTATCATATTTTCAAGGTGGTGCCTAGGCGCCCTCCTTTTACACTGCCTAAGTGGGAGCCTAACTAAAGCCACCTAGTCCACGACTATGCGTTTTCAAAAAATGCCGCCTAGGCAGTTGGGTGGTCGAATTTTCGTTCATTGTGCCTAGCTATGATATTTGAGGAGATAATAAATGTTGGGTATTCCAGAGGTGATTTTTCCTTCATATGAGTGAGGGTAGCTAATTATGGTTCTAACTTGGTTTCTCTTGTTCACCTTTGCTTTTGTCTTTCTTATCTGCCTTCGAATAATATTAACAAAGATATAAATAAAAAAAAAACTAATATTTTGAAATGTCGCACAGTGACATGTTTTTCAATGTGTTGATTTGTCAGTTTGGATAATTTATCCTGTCAACTTTGCTAGATGGGTTTGTTCTTTGTTTTACTTTTCTCATTTATTTACTTACATGAAATGGATTTCCCATTTAATCATGTTTCTTTGCTTTTCCCTATGTCCTTTTAAATTCAGTGATACACTTCTTGATTTTGATCTGCGTTTTTGTATGGTACTCCATCAGAAAGAACCAGACCTGATAGTTGGCAATGAAGTTCTATGGACCTTTGTAAACTTTGCTGGAGAGGGCCATACCAGTTTTCAGACACTTGTGGCTTTTCTGAGAATGCTCAGTACCTTGGTATGCCCAAACTGATTTACTTTTTATATGGATGTGGACTTCTTTTTTAATTGTTCGTTGATGAAATACATAATCTCAGGGATCAAATGAGGAAGGTGCCATACGGATTTTCCAGTTACTACAGGGCAAAGCACTCCATTCTATAGGATGGAATACACTTTTTGACTGTCTATCCGTTTATGAACAAAAATTCAAACAGTCCCTTCAGAGCACCGGAACAGTTTTGCCCGAGTTTCAAGAGGGTGATGCAAAAGCACTGGTTGCATACTTGGGGGTCCTCCAAAAGGTTCTAATTTTGTGATTTAGAATATTTTCTCTGTTCAATGGATGTATTGGGATCATTAGCATTTTGAAATCTGATTGTTCTTTCTGCTTCTTTTGGGTTTTCATTTCTAGATATTATTATGATTATAAATGTGGAGCTTATTAATAATTGTTGCAGGTTGTTGAAAATGGAAATCCTGTGGAAAGAACAAAATGGTTTCCGGATATTGAACCCTTATTTAAGTTACTTGGTTACGAGAATGTGCCTACTTATTTGAAGGTTAGAGACTGTATTATCATATGTGCTTGTCTTCTTTCATCTAGAAGATATTTATGTGCATTTAAAAATCAGGTCAGGATGTGTGTGTGTGTGTGTACGTTTGCACATGCTTGTCTGTGCGGAGACACACACATACAGCTTCGTACATATGGAAAGAAAAGAGGGGGGGAGGGATCTCCTAGCATCTTTCAAAAATTTTGATTGTAATTGTGGATGGGTTGTTACTATTGTTTTGATTTAATGAAGTTATCTGGTTTAATGAAGTTATCGCTTATATATTGTCTGTATTTTCAGGGTGCTTTGAGAAACGCCATCTCTGCCTTCATTGAAGTCTCTCCCGTTCTAAAAGACACTATATGGAATTATCTTGAACAATATGATTTGCCCCTTGTTGTTGGACCCCCTCTTGTAGGATACAGTTCTCAGCAGGTGCCTACACAGGTAGAATTTTTGGTTAATTATGGATTAATTGAAATGTTGGTTTGATTCTGGAAGTATAATTGGCCTTGTAAGATTTTCTTTGGTGGCCTTTGTTCTGTGTAAATTCTAGAGAAGTGGTTCAATATATTGTAATGCAAAATAGATATTGAGTGGGTTCTGACGACATTGATTACTTATTCGTTCTGTTTGTGTAACAAATAAACATTTTCGAATATTAGTTCTAAGAGATGGTGGGATTATGCAGTTCAAAATTTATGCAACATTTTTCGAAGAAAAATTCAACCAACAAAGTACCATAACTTGAAAAAAACTAAAAAACTTTCCTTGTTTTTATTGAAACAGCTTTTGTTCTTGTTTCACATATTTCTAGAGTCAATCATTTTAAGGAAATGTCTTCGCATTACTTCCTTTCCCCACTAAAACAAAGTATGTAGTGCCCGTGTTTCGAGTAAACTCCGAGTAACTTCTGAAATCATCTTCAAGTTCTGGCTCAATTTTTTTATCTGAAAGAGATACTTAAAGACTCGATCTCAATGATAGTTTTGGTAGACTGTAGATTTAATAGCTTTTCCTTATCAAAGAATGAGATTCTATTCTGGATGCTATCAACCTTAATGAGTTTATTGGTAATTTAGTGTTTTACTTGCTTAATTACTTAATAATCTTTGTTTTATGGACATCCATTTATCATGTTTTCAACGTGGATATTACATTGTAATTGATCCTTGGTTCTACCTTTGACGCCTGCTTAGCTGACTGCATATGGTTATTTAATAGTTTGTGCTTGTCTTGATCTCAGATCATCCATGCTAAATTTTACATTCTTATGTCGGTTTGACCTCTGTGGAAGTGGCTATACCCTGCACAACATTAAATGAATTGCATTTTTGAGGTTGATACCTTCAGAGCTTCATAGTGGATAACTGCTTCCCTCATAAATTTCTCACCAGGCTGGCGTTCTCGTTTAAGGGCTAATGTGTGTGTGTGCACTTTTTGCAACTTAGTGATTTAAAGCCTGAAATCAGATGTTGGATTGGGCCTCCACTGTACCAATCTGGATCAATGATTTTACCTGGATTGGCAGATTCTTCAAGATCAAAAAAACAATAAACTATTCTGGAATGAAAGCAATATTGAAAAAATTAAATTGTGTGGGAATTGTTCAATTCTCTGACCCGAACTGTCAGTTCCTCTGATGGAATCGCCAGGTCTTTGACAGAACCAGGTGATTCCCATCGAGTTAGACCAATTCCTAGTTCTGTAAAAGAACTGGGTTGTTCTCCTATTGAATCCAATCCGGATTACAAATTCCTGATTTTTATTGGGGATTTTTCAAACACTGCTGCAAGCTGATGTTGCATAAATGTCACTTATTAAATATAAGCAATCAGTGTTATGCTACTTAAATGCAGATATTCTTACTCCTGTAGCAGGCTTAATTTTTCTTAACCATAGTGTGATAGTTATGTTGTATGTGTCTCAGGTGTACGATATGCGGTATGAGTTGAATGAAGTGGAAGCTAGGAGCGAGCGATACCCATCTACTATTTCATTCCTTAATTTGTTGAATGCTCTTATTGCAAAGGAAAGGGATGTAAGTGACAGGGGTAGAAGGTAAGACTGGCAAAATATTCTGGTCCTTTGATGGAATGTTCATTTATGTCCACTTAATCACCTTTGTTGTATGTAGGTTGTATTCTTGTATTTCTCATCTCTCTTTTGTTTCAGGTTTGTGGGTATCTTTAGGTTTGTCTATGACCATGTGTTTGGTCCTTTTCCTCAGCAAGCATATGCAGATCCTATGGAGAAGTGGCAGTTAGTTGTTGCCTGTCTTAGACATTTTCAAATGTGAGTTCTGTTTGTGACAGTTACTCAAAGTTATGCGAGGATGATATGTTGGTTGTTAAAGTTCCATTCCATTAACTTGTTCTCCACTCAATATTGTGGCACCGCTTGATATCCTAGTGAAATTACAATTTGGGCCTATTTGAAAATTTCTCACCAGCATTTTTACTCAAAGGGATATTTGATTAGCAAACTGAAATTGATTTCTGGCTTTGAGTTGGGGCTCTTATTGAACTTTTTGCTAAACAACTCCAAGTTATACAAAAATTTCAAAGTGGCTCTTTCTCAATCCCTCTCCTCCCCCCAAGCTACCATTAACATTGCCACTGCAACTCCATTGCTCTCACTGCCACTCCACCACTACTGCCTAGCCACCACTGTTCCACTGCCGCCGCGACCGCCTATCCTACACCACCACCAATTCCACCACCACCATCAGTGTACCGCCACCACCACCACTGTTGCACTGCCATCACCACTCCACTGCCTACCGCCGCCGCCACCATGCCCACCCCCCCCCAACCACCACCACCCTCATACCACATAATGGCATTTTATAATCCAGTTGTAAAAATCAAACACTCATAAAGAGCAAATGACAATTGATCAAATTTTCCATTTGGTTAATTACAAATTGAACAAAAAACAATAGTTGACAAAATTTTGCAATCAAAGAGTTCCTTAGTGAGCAGTATTAGTGTCATTCCGAACTAATACGAGTTAGTTTCTATAATTCCCATTCAATAGGGGAGCTTTTTTTCTTCCTATTTTTTATGAGTAGCCATTTCATGCTGAGGATTTCTTTTTATCTCCTTTCTAAGTTTTTCTTTTTTGAACAAATTCTTTCTGCTTTGGCTTTCTGAGAATGCTGTGTGAACTAGAACGTTAGTAATTTAGTCAACTAGCTCAATTATCTATTCGTATTATGCAGGATCCTGAATATATATGATATTGTGGATGAGGATATTGAAAATGTTGTTGAACAATCTTCTCAATTTCATAATGTGGGGCAGCCCTTGAGCTCACTTGAGACGCAAATTCCTGTGATAGAGTTGATGAAAGTAAGTATTTCCCTTTTGATTTCTTTAGTATTTTGTGCACGACTGAATTGTATATTTCAAAGGGATACTTCTTCATACTTTACCACTTACATCTTTTTATACAATGCAAATATTTCTACGGAATTCAGTTCAAGGGATCCAAAATCTGCTATTTCAAGTGTGCTTTATTTGCTTTCTCTTTTGGGGCTGATATTAATTTTTTCTTCTTTTCTTTCTTTATTTCTTTTTAAATGCCTGGCATAAACGAATCTCATGTCTCTATACAATGATCGGAATGCTTAAGAAACATTGCTCAAGTTTAGGTAGAGGAAGCGTAAAATACTACCACAAGAGTTACTTACCAATTTTCAACCAAATAACCCACTAGGCTAATATTTTCTGATTTGATTTGCGTCTTTCCGTGTGCATCTCATTGTAGACCTTGCCTTCTCTGGAACATGATAGGTCCACATGACTGATCCTGACAGATGCAATGAAAATGGTCATATACTCGAACCAAACAATAACCACTTTGGGAATTCTAGCCAGTAAGGTGTTATTGTTCTGCAATCCATGGTTTCCCTTTGCTTTCCTACTTTAGGAGTCAATGCTGCTTCTCAGCTATGACAAGTTCAATTTGTCCTTCCTACCAGTCCCTCTCATGCTAGAACCGGTGCTACCAGAAGAAGGAAGGTGCTGCCTGGGCAGGCACCTCATGATTGAGGTGCCCTGGAAATGAGGGGGTTTATTGTTTCTGGGGTTTAGGCGTATGCTTTTGAGGTGTGTGTATGTGTGTGCACATGTTGAAGGGGGGGGGGTTGGGTTGGATGCGCCTTAGCCTGCCTTGGACCTAGTTGCTGAGTGCCCGTTTTGTCCACCGAGTCAGGTGCCTGAAGGGCCCCCCTGCCCTAGGCGCCTGGGTCAAGGTGAGGCGCATGGGGCTTTGACTTGCCTCAAGGTGCTGACTAGGCAATGAGGTGGGCCGCCTTCTTAAATATTGAGTGCTACATGGACATTGTAGGTTTGAGATGCTTCGCCCCAAATTCTTGGTATGACTCGACAATTTCCACAATTTATTTGATTTAGCAAGAGAATGCCAGTTTCGTTTCTGATAATAATATTTTGACATCTAAGTTACTAATGAGACGCATGCCTTACTGGAGAAGTGCATGGTTTCAGCTTAAAAGAAAGAAGATTCGAACCGTATGTGTGGCTTGTTTTGTTTTATAACAAACTCCCTTGTAATAGGAAGTTTCGACCTATGTCTTAGGTATCAATGTACATAACATCAAGGGTCACCCAAGGTGTTGTGGTCACACTGGCTGGAACTGATGGATGCAGATTCTTATATTATGTCTTCTCTGTATGACGTCCCCTCTCCTGCACAACGAGGTTGCCATTTGCTGCGCTAGAATGATTTGAAGTTTCTAAAAAAACTTTTATTTGCAAGATAGACACCGCCAATAGGGAAAGTGCTATAAGATGTAAATATCTGCATACATAAACATTCATGTTTTGTCCTTAGTTTCATCTGTTTTTGTTGCTTCTTTGGGTATGATTGTTTCGACCACGCATATGTAGCAGTACTTTTCGGTAGTTGAAGATTTGCTTCAAGTAACTGAGACTGAGTTCCAATATCAAAAAATATAATTGATGCTGCTTAAGCTTCCCCCTTTGTTAGTTTATTAATGTCAACCACCCCCACCAAAAAAAATTATGAATATCTTTCATGAGTGGTGTTTTCCCTTAATAGTGAAATCCACAGGATCAGAGACCAATTATTTCATTGAACCAATGTTCATGTTGGATTGAGTGAGTTTCCGGCCCTAGAGGGCGAATCATGATTACCAGCTTTTTGAGTTGTTCATATCCTTTCTCTTTTATTTTCTGGGTTGCCTTAAAAATCTGATGTAAATGGAATGACGTGGCCATCTTATTGATTTGTGGTGGCTTTTTCCACGTATGTGACTGAATACCTGCTGATTGTTCACATTAGTATTCATCTTCTTCTTCTTCGGCTCCTTCTCCCTTCTTCTTCTTCTTCTTCTTCTTGTTTTTATGTTGACCTTGCTACATCCTAGTATTGTTGAAATATAAGCTATATCCCCATTTGTCCGCTTTTGGTTTATGCTGTACCTTTGCTTCACATTTATTAATGATTGATATCTACCGGTACCATTATTTTCCATTTCATATGGATTGCATGCTAGTATACAAACTTCTGATTCTTATTCAATGTAACGTGTTTCTAGTACTTTATGAAGCTTATGTATTTTGTTCTACAAAATTTAATGCATATTTCAATTTCTTAGGTAATTGGAACTTGATGATCTTTGTTACTGATTTCAATAATGGTTTATGTAGGATTTTATGAGCGGTAGAATGGTCTTCCGTAATATAATGAGCATTGTTTCACATGGGGTTAATGGTCTCCTCACCGATCGGACTGGTCAGATATATGGTCATTTTTTGGAAGAGGCTGTTCGTATTTCATTGGAAATAATTGTTCTGGTTTTTGCAAAGGATTTGCGCCTTGCTGATTATTGGCGTCCTTTCTATCAGGTATTGTTTGTTCATGCATTGTGATATGTTTGTTGTGTTCTAGTCATTTTGAATTTGGCGGCCTTTTTCTTTTTGTTTTGATAATTATGGGGCCTTTTAACCTATATGATTCTCTGCCATGTCTTGCAGCCACTGGATGCTATATTATCTCAAGACCGTAATCAGATTGTGGCGTTGCTGGAGTATGTACGATATGATTTTTGTCCCGAAATTCAGAAATGGTCCATCAAAATTATGGGTATTCTAAGGTATGCTTTCTCATTGATGTATAAAAAGGTTTATGCAGCAATATCTGGCCTTTTTTTCTTTTGTTTCACATTCTTACTCTGGTTTAGTTATTTTCTTTGAATTCTAAACCTTGTATACCCTGTCTGATAGTTGTGTGCTCTGCATGCTACATTTGCTTTATACATGTTTATTTCAATCTTAGTTGTGATCCCACTGTAGCTAAATATTGTGACCATGTTTTTTCCTTGGTCAGTTTCTTCTCTCTAAGTTTTGATATGGTATTGCCTCGGAGTTTACTTCTGATAAGAGGCATCTATTTGTTTCTGCTGAATGGCCATCCTCTGTAGTGCTAGTTTCTGCAATTATGGTTTCTTCTAGGTCTGATTCCTGCATCTATAGTCCAGTTTTGGATGATTACAAGGATATGCATGCTACTTTCTTTGTTATTCACATGATCATACTTTTTTGTTTCTATCTTTTGGTGTCTACTGCTTTTAATGATCTACTTTGTTGATTATTTGTCTACAGTTCTCGTATGGCTGGGCTCGTACCCCTACTCCTCGAATCAAATGCATCAAACAATTTAATTGAGGATTATGCAGCATGTTTGGAGATGCGTGCTGAGGAGTGTCTGGTTACTGATACCTTGAGTGATGATATTGGTGTTATGATCTTGCAGGTTAATGGATGTTACATTGGTTCATTAGCTGAATATTTAGATAGAGATGTTTGCGCTGCACTAGATTATCATTCTCTTTATGTTTTTGCTGCATGCTCATTGTAGCTCCTTATCGATAACATAAGTCGACCAGCTCCAAATCTGGCCCATTTGCTGCTGAAGTATGATGTTGATACATCTGTGGATCGGACTGTTTTACAGCCCAAATATCATTACAGGTATGGCAGTAACACATTTTGTCTTGTCACTGCATAAAAATTGCATGTAGGAAAATTATACTACACCCCGGTGAGTTTGGTGTGTAGTAGTACCTAAAGACAGAGTTTTGGAGTATTGTACTCATAAGTGCATCTACAATGAAGATTTATCTTTGTGGGGAATGAGTTGGACAGTCACAAAGGTACAACCTAGTTGTGGCTCATCTGTGCCATCAATCATTGTAAGTGGTTGGTGGACGCCGCTCTGGAGTACTATATGCCATACTGCATTCGGTTTTATATGTTTTCCTTATGCTATTTTTCTTTATTATTAATATTTTTACCCATATCTTCTGCAGTTGCTTGAGGGTGATTCTTGATATATTGGAGAGGCTTCAAAAACCTGATGCTAATGCTTTACTCCATGAATTTGGCTTTCAGGTTTATAAATTTTTTTCCTTATTTATGTGAACATTGTTTGTGATCTTTACCTATTTATCCCTTGTGCTTTCTGTAGCTCCTTTATGAGTTATGTTTGGACCCATTAACTGGTCGACCTACAATGGATCTACTCTGCGGCAAGAAGTATCAATTCTTTTTGAAGGTAGCTGTTATCTGGAGCTTACTAGTGTTACTAGTGTATCTTGTATGATACATAATGTGAATGGTGCATGAAATTTTTTAGGACCCTTTAATGAGGTCTTTTCTCTTCATGTATTCAGTATTTGGGTACACTTGCTGCTGCTCCACTTCCAAAGAGGAATGTTAATCAGGCACTTCGAATTAGTGATCTCCAACAGGTATCCTTGTTGTGTTTGTCCTTCTGAAATAGGTGGAAATGCACAGTGGTGTTTTGCTTAGTTCTAAACCTTTATTTTCCCACTCACTGAAGTTTGTTTGTGTGTTGCTTGTTGCTAATCGGTGTATTTTTCTATTTCTTTATTCTGTAATCTTTTAATTATAAGAGTTTGGTGGGTTGCATTTACTTGCTATCCTTGTCAACTGAGTGTTTTTTTGTTTATTTATTTCAGAGGGCTTGGCTCTTAAAGCTTTTGGCCTTGGAAATGCATATGGGTGATGACAGCATACCCACACATCGGGAATTATGCCTGAGCTTGCTTAATCATTTGTTTATTAGGGACACAAGAGATTCTGATGCTGTTGGTTCACTTCTACCAATCACTTCTCAAAGGCATACAGAAAATGTTGTTTCGACGAGTAATTTTAATTCTAAGGTATTAGTTTTAGGTTTACAAAAGAGTTATTAATTGATACTTAAGATGTTTAGTTACATATTCCATGCTTAGTTGGTGATTTTAGTAAGAACTGGATGCCTAAGATGTTTAGTTACATATTATACTTAGTTGGTGATTTTAGTAAGAATTGGATGCCTTTCACTGTAAGCGAATTGTTTAATTCATGCATTGTACTTTTTGTTTATCATTGTATACCTGTTTTTAATTACCAAAGAAAATTGCATACCTGTTTTTATTGAATCATACTGCGTTTCAGTTTTTTGGATCAATATCTTATGTCAAGCAGGAATTTTGCAATGGTACTTCTACTTTATTGTTTACCCAAATGAGGTGGAAACAATTGCCTAAAAGATGCTTCTAAATAGCCTATAGATATTCGTATTGGGCTGGTATGAGTAATAGTACTGGTTATTTGATCTGATTGGCAATGCTTCCCAAGTGACCAAGAAATTGTCCACAATGATAGAAGTGTTTAATAACTTGTGTAATTGGTTCTCCAAAATGTTCTTAAAGTTATGAGTATTATGATCTCATCTCCTAACTCAATTTGTCTGATCTAGATGGCAGAAACTTGCTTGTATATTATTGGTATTAAAGGTATTAAATGTTCAAGGTAATTTGGTTATCTTTTATTCGATTGTTCTGTATTTTGTATTTTGCAGGGTATTTTACTTGATAGACTAGATTGTTAGGAATGGGAATGTTGTACCATAGTTGATGGGATCAAGATCAAATCAGAAGTGGGATAGGAATTGGGAGTGGGGCGATCGTGAAAAGGCTAGAATACCCTATGGTTGGGAGCATTGTCGGTACAAGGCATATGCTATGGATCAAGATCCCTAAATGTTACGGATCAATCCCGAGCTTTTAGGATCTTGATCCCAACATTTTGAGGCTTTTGCTCTAACTTACATAATATGTGTACACTAGGATTATATGTACTTTTTAAAGTAGGGGTCTCTTTGCATACCCGACAAGCAATGCAACTATATTTAAAGTATAATTGGATTGCCAACTATATTGAAAATCATCATTTTGATTATTATCTTGGTCTTAAGGTGGGGATCGGGATCCCAAATAGTAGAGATCGAGATCCGTAATAAGGGGGATCAATATCCCAAAATTTTAAAATCGAGATCAATTGAGGATCCCTTTCCCAAAAGGCATGAGCGAGATTCTAGAGCTGGATTGGCACCTACATTGGGAGATGCAAATAGATCATCATCGTCATCATTATCAAAGCTTTTTTCTAACTAATTGAGGTCGACTACATGAGTCTTGATCTGCCATTCTGCTCTATTAAGGGCCCTGCCTTCAGTGAGGCCGTAAGTCTCCATATCTTTTCTCACTACTTTCAACCATGTCCTTTTGGGTCTACCTTTTGCCCTGTTTTAGCTTTCCATTTGAACTAACTCGTACCTCCTAATAGGTGTTGTACTGGGTCTGTGCCATACATGGCTGCCCACCTAAGTCTACTCTCTCTCATCTTATCGCCTATTGGTGCCACACCTCGAATGTATTCATTTTGAAATCTATCCCTTTTTGTCTTGCCACTAATCCATCTCAACATCCTCATCTCTGCTATTCTCATTCTATGAGTGTATTGTTTTTTGACCACCCAACATTCTGCCACATAGAATGAAGCTGGTCTCACAGCTGCCCTATAGAACTTCCCTTTCAGCTTCATTGGTAATGAGGCGATCACATAAAATTCCTGTTGCACATCTCCACTTTGCCCACCAGCTTTAATTCTATGTGCGACCAGCTTTAATTCTATGTGCGACATCTTCCCTAGTCTCTCCATTGTCTTGGATTATCGACCCAAGATATCAAAAGTGCGCTCTTTTTGGTATTTCCTCGTCTCTACTCACATTATTACTAAACTTGCATTCTATATATTCTGTCTTAGTCCGGCCAATTTTAAAACCTTTAGATTCTAGAGCATCCCTCCAAAGTTCTAACTTGTGTTGACATCGTTTTGGGTCTCATTGATCAAAACTATGTCATTTGCGAACAGCATGAACCACGGTACCTCATCTTGTAGGTGCCTAGTTAACTCGTCTATAACTAAGACAAAGAGGTATAGGCTCAATGCGGACCCCTCGATGTAGGCCTATTATCACTGAAAACTCAATTGTCTCTCCACTAGTTGTTCGTACGGATGTGTTATACTTTTCTGTTAAGAATGGGTATGTTAAGAAGTGATGTGATCATTCGTTAGAGAATGTTGGCTTAATTAGATGACGAATTTTGGTTATGTATGTGTTGTAGTCATTATGAATTTGATTCACCTTTTTAATTTTGATTTTGGGATTATTTGAATGTTTTGTTGTGAAGTGGTTGAATTCTACATAGCAATACTTGAGATCATTCCCTGCACCTTCTAAGCTTGGATTGCAGTGCATCTAGTTAGAATATTCATTGGAGAGAGTTTTGTAATCAATTATCTGAAATTAGCAAAATATTGTGACACATTTATATGACCATGTTTCTCTTTTTACCCTAACATATGTTTACAATGTCTATAATTTATCGTATTCTCTTTGAATATGCAATGCTTTAAAGAAATGTTTTGATTTTTAGCTTTATAAGATAATTAACTAGATATCACTTGATGAAATGCTTGATATTTTATTTTATGAATCAGAGTCTCCATTTCATGATATCAGTAAATTACATTGTAAATATGCTTAGATTCTTTTGTTTTGAGGGTCTTTTGATCATGATCCTACAATGCAAGCTTACTACACAACTATTTATGAATTTTTTCACTTGCTCTACTTATTTTTTAGGTGTTGGAGATCCTTGATGTCATCCAGTTTAGGTCTCCTGACACAGCTTTGCAATTTTCTCAGTCTATTTCGAAATTGAGTCGTGATATGAAGGTATCTATTTTCTTTTCTTTGATGATGCTTTGTTTTGTCTGGTGCATGTGCACTGGGAAAATATATACGATAATCTAGTAGGTTAGTACCTCAATGGGGCATGCATTGACCATTCCCTACGATAAACAATGGAGATTAGTGTACTTGGGTTAATCTCCTAGTATGCCTTGCTTTTCTCAATCTCCATATCCACTTGGAGGAATGGATAGTGGGTGCCTGATGCAAATCGAGTTCAAGAGAAGCTGAATTCAAGTTTTAGTTGTTTTTTTTTTGTCTATATAATTTTGGGGATATGGATGAGTTTTTAGTTATTGTTATTGCTTAATTTAGGGATTTTTAAAGTATGGGGGCCAAATTCGTTTCTTTGTTTTTCATTGTTATGTGCTAGGGTGGTCAATTCATATTTGGTAAGATTAGTATGAGACTTTCTACCATTTGTTAGTTACTTAGTTGCGTTTTTATTAAGTTGGGAGATGATTCAAGAGTTCAAACCATAGTTGTTGGGACTTGGGATTGGTAGCAGGGGACCATGAAATGCTAGAAGATCCCTATGGTTGGGAGTGTCGTCCGTACAATGGATATGTAAGGATCTAGATCCCCAAATGCTAGGGATTGAGAACCCGACATTTGGGATCTTGATCCCGACCTTTAGAGATCTTGATCCCAACCTTATAGGGATCTTGCTCCCAACATTAAAGAGTATGTATAGTCTAAGACTATACATACTCTTTGAAGTAGGGTTCTCTTTATTAATAGCTAGCAAATAGTGCAACTATATTAAAAGTATAGTTGTTTTGCTAGTTGGCTATAAATAAAGAATATCATCAGTTTGGTTGTTATTGTGGTGTTTAAGGTTGGGATCAAGATCCGCTATAGAAGGTTTTGGGATCCCTAATTGTGGGGATCGAAATCCCTTGAAGAACCCTTTCCCCAAGCATTGAAGCGAGATTTGGAGCGGGATCACCGCCTATGTTGGGAGATCCCAACGACTATGGTTTAAGAGAAGTCCTAAAGTATTGGGTTAAGAGGAAGGAGTATGTGGGTAATCTCCTCTCTGTAGAGGGAGTTCAAGAACGAGGGAAAGGGGAATATTACCTAGAATTTCTAGGAAATGGGGTATGTGCTTTATAGAGAAAAGGAATTAACTTTTGGTTGTTTAGTTTGGATTAATATGGAATGTCCCCCTTACAAAGACCTTGGTTTTTTAATGAGTATGTTTGTATGAATGAAGAGGAGGCTTCTTTGGTGTGAGCTAGAGATTCTTCTTATCCCTTTTGGCTTGATTTATAGACATACTTTTTCTCCTATTTCTTATTGATTTTTTTTTTTTTCTTTTTTTCTTGTTCAAGGATCAAAAAGGAGGATTTAGTTTCTCACCTTCCTTTCATATAAGTTTGGTATCAAAGAATGCCTTGAAAGTGGTTTAGAGACTATGATGGCTGGTTGTGGAGGTCGTTGCTGTTAGCATGCCAAGGTGGACCTGGTGAATGAGCGATTCAACAACATAACATGACAGAGATGGTTACACAACACCTACAAGGGGCGAGATCAGCAACAACGTGCCTCAAAGAAAGAGTCCTGAGGTATTAGATCCAAACATGAGGGTTTTGATGAAGATCGACACGAATTGGAGTCTGAAGCTAATAAGTTGAGTGGGCCAATGACATGTCTAATCACCAAATTGTGCTTGATATGCGAAAATATCAATGTGAGTGTGAATTTGTTGGAGAGCCAGGTAGCTGCCACCCGAGGCCAACATGATAGGTGTAAGGCACAGATAGGGAGTAATCACGTGATTGGTGTTGTGGTACGTGAAGATATCAACGATGAGAAAGTTTTCCCTCCGTTTTGTGGGAATCTTTCCCTCGAGAGTTTTTTGGACTGGTTGAGCATATTTAAGTGCTTTGATCGGAGACACTTGTCCAATTCAAAGAAGTACAAAACCTAGGGGACTCGCATTAGCATGATGGAATCAAGTTCAAGAAGCACGACTTTGAAAAGGCAAAGATAAAATCAGATCATGGGTTAAGATGAAGGGAAGTTTGTGTGAGCAATTCACTCTGTGAGCTACACACAAATGTGTTACCAACGATGGACTTGCATTACAGCATACGCCGTTGTTGTTGACTACGTATCAAACTGCCTTGGAGGTGGAGGACAATGGAGAAAGGGGATAACCATAAGTCGACCCACCCTTGTATTGGGATCATCGCAAACTGGAGGGCCTGCATATCCAACCCGTGGCATTTCTGCCTTGAATGATGGTCCAACTACCAATATCCAAGCCTGAGCCTTAGTCTAAGAGGCTGCTAGTCTGATGTGTTCAGGTGTAATGAGGCGGGACACCAAGCAGCAGAGTGTCCCTTGAATGCAACCCGGCGCCATGCCATTCTAGTGGCATTGCAGCACGAGTGGACAATGAAGAGCACTCAGCTACTTTGGTTGAAGATGAAGCTGCAATTAATGATCAATTGGATGAAGTGGTGGCTGATCAAGGTGAGACCTTGCTGGTTCGATGTGTTTTATCATTACCACTACCACGTGCACGACTAGGGAGTTGGCTGAGAAGTATTTTTTTTCACCTGGTGTTTGTGTAATGGCAAATTGGGCAACATCATCATCGGCAATAGGTGTTTCAAGAATATGGTCTTGCATGAAATGGTAGACAAGTTGCATCCCAAGGTGTAAAAGCATCCACATCCTTATGAGGTTGCACGCTTCATACCTAGGGCTGAGATACCTATTACTTCCCAATACTTTGATTAAATTTTCTATTGGTACTTTCTATATGGATGAGATTTGGTGTGATATTGCACTAATGGATGCTTGCCACATACTCCTAGGGAACCCTTAGCAGTATGATCACATAGTCATTCATAATGGCGTGCACTGTACTTTTTAGAAGGATGGTCTTTAGGTAGTTGTACTACGCTTGCATGAGGAGACTACATCCAAGTCTTTCAAAACAGAGGGTGTGAATCTTCTCTTACTCTGATAGTTTATGAAGGAGAGTGAGAAGACTTGGCATATTTATGTAATTGTGAGAAAGGACTTGCTACAACCTATTCTAGTGCCCAAATCCCTTAGACCACTCCTATTGGAGTTTTGGGGATCTTTTGTCCGATGGGTTACCTGCGGGCTTGCCACCTATGAGGAATATACAACACTTCATGGACCTCATTCTTGGTTGACCTTACCTAATCTGCTGGTTTATAAAATGAGTCTTAACGAGCATGAGCTTCAGAGCCAGGTGGATGAGTTTTTGTCAAAGGGGCTCATAAGAGTTAGCATGATTCCATGTGTTGTGCTAGCTTTATGATGCAGGGAAATTTGAGGGAACAGTAAATAAAAAAAAAACAAAACTAAACACAAGCATAATTCAATGAAACCTAGAGTTTCTTCTCCATTCCCCAAGCTAGGATTCCAAAAGCCTAGGCTTTTCTCTTTTTGAATTTATAAAAATCATGTGGAATTGAGTGGCTCTAGGCCCCACACACCTTATATATATTATAATTCAATAATCAAAGATATTACATGTCCATACAATAATAAAATGATCTATATATCCTAATGTAAACTTAAATTTCGTAATGACAATTTTACCCCTGTGAACTGTACCCGTGAGCGGTACTCATGAATAGTACTTGTGACTGGTAATCATGAAATAAATGAAAAATAATGAAAACCCTCTAATTCTTAAAAAACTAAAAATCCTAAAACTAAAATCAAAATATACATTCTATAAAATTGAGTAGAAAATAAAAATAGGTATAATTTTTCTCGCCATCATTATCCCCTGGTTGGAGAAAACTCATCCTCGAGTTTTGAAGTGTACTAAGATGAATTCAACATCAAAACCACCTTCTTCAACCTTCTTCTTTGTTGGCTGAAAGATTATTTGTGGTAAAAATAATTCCTCGAGAAACGGATCTTGATATGTATATCGAGGAATCAAGTCCACAATTTGTAGATTCTGAGTTGACCATGCTTCCATTGCACTACTTTGATTCCAAATAACCAGAATTTCTTAAAGTTAACACTTTAAAAAAAAAAAAGAAAAACCTAGAATTTCTTGAATGTATTACCTCCTCGATATTAATGAAATCTTCAAAGGCCATGATTTTGATCAGTCCTCCTACTAACTTCTCTCCATATTCTTCACCTTCTTCCATAATTCTTCATTATCATCTGGATCCTTATCACAGATCGGATCTCCTAAAAAATCATGTTGTACATCTGAGTATGTATCGAAGATTGGTGGTGAATTCCAATCAATAACTTGCTGATTTTCGATGCAATCTGTGTCAAAATCAATAATCTCTTCCTTCCAATCGAAAACCCTAGGGTTTATGATTTCAACAAGCCCATGGCAGCGAGAAGGGGCCGTAGAAGGGGGCTTTTGTAGACCCGCTTCGTGATCTCATAGATGACAGAATTGTGGAACTTGAAAGGCAAATTCAGCAGCTGGCGCTGTAGTTTGCGAGCCTCAATAATGGGCAAGGTGGCGATCTTTCAGCCCAAGAAGATCTTGAGGACAAACCTTTTCACTTTTGTGCTCCGCGTAGGGAGTTGAGTGTTGAGGATAGTGATAGAAAACCCTTGAGTGATGTTCCCTACATCTAGGTCTTCTATCGCTATCCTCAGCACTCGACTCCCTTCGTAGAGCACAAAAGTGAAAAGTCTTGTCCTTGAGATCAGCCGGCTCGCGAACTGCTGCACCTGCTGTTGAGCTTGCCTTTCAAGTTCCTCATTTCTGTTATCTATGGGATCAAAGAGGGGATTTACGAAAATCCCCCTTCTGTGGCCCCTTTTTGCTAGCATGAGCTCGTTGAAATCGCAAACCCTAGGCAATTAATCAACAAAAAAATATTGAAATCAGCAAGATCTAGCTTGTTTTTGCAAAACTTTGGCCAAAATCATCAAACCCCAATTCCCAAGTAACTTCCCCTCTTTGTTGTTGATTTAGGGCACCAAACAAAATCGATGCTACAATAACTTTGTGCACGCTATAGTGATGTCGTACATTGCTACAATTCTTTCAGTGTGGATTGCAGGCTCTGATACCAATTTGATGTAGAGGACTTTGAGGGAGCCGTAAAATCAGCAAGAAACAAAGCTAAATACAAGCATAATTCAAAGGAACCTAGAGTTTCTTCTCCTAATCCCAAGCCAGGGTTCCAAAAGTCTAAGCTGTTCTCTTTTTCAATTTCTAAAAATCATGTGGAATTAACACTCTTTAGGCTCCACACACCTCTTATATATTTTAATTCAATATCCAAAGACATTGCATGTCCATATAATGATTAAAATGACCTATATATCCTAAGTTAAACTTAAAATTTCTAATGACAGTTTTACCCATGTGAACAGTCCTTGTGAACAGTACTAATGTACTTGTGAATAGTAATCATGAAATAAATAAAAAGACTAAAAATCCTAGAATTCCTAAGAAACTTAAAATCCTAAAAAAAAAAAAACAAAATATACATTCTTTAAAATTGAATAGAAAATAAAACTAAGTATAAATTTTCCCTCCAGCACTTTACTTACCCCCATGAAAGATGGATCATGGAGAATGTGTATAGATTGCAGGGCCATTAATACTATCATAGTCAAATCACTATTTCATGGTTGGATGATATGCTTGACACGTTGGTTGGAGTTGCTGTATTTTTGAAGATTTGACTTTGAGAAGTGGCTACCATCAAATTTGTATCCGCAAAGATATGAGTGGAAGACTTCTTTCAAGACAGGGAGTGGGCTGTATGAGTAGTTGTGATGCCTTTTGCCTTGTCCAATGCACCTAGCAAGTTCATGCTTATGATGACATAAGTACTAGGACCTTTTATTGACAAGCTATATGTTTTACTTGTTTATAATGGACATGCCGATGCCCATGTTGACCTGATGTGCCAAATACTTACAATGTTAAGGGCCAAGGGGTTATACATCATTCTTAAGAAGTGTAACTTCTTGATTGATGGCTTAAGTGTTTTAAGGCGATGTTGTGTTCGTTAGGTGGGGTGATGGTAGATCTTGAGATGGTTGTGCTATAGTGGAATAGATGGTTCCAGTATCGGCATTCGAGGATGACAGATTCCATGGACTTGCTAGTTTCTATAAACAGTTCATTAGAAACTTCAATACTACCATCGCTCCAATCGTCGAAGTTTTCAAGTGGACCTTAGCTGCAAAGAAAGCCTTTGGCACCATTAAAGTGAATATGATGAATGCCCCAATGCTTGCATTGCTAGATCTCAACAAGGTAATCAAGGTAGAATGTGGTGCTTCTCATCTGGGCTTGATGTTGTTCGTGGTCAAGAAAAGAGGCCTGTTGCTTTCTTTAGAGTCAATGAAGTCTGAATAAAGTATTCCACATATGATGTTGAGTTCTATGCAGTCATTTAAGCGCTAAGACGTTGATTACATCACCTAGTGCAGCAAGAATGTATCCTATACAATGACCTTGATGTGTTGAAGCACATCAATAGTTGGAATACTCTTAGTGCTCGGCATGTGAAGTGAGCTTTTCTGCATGAGTTCCTATTCATCATTTGACACCAGAATCAAGTGGTTGATGCACTGAGCTCATGATCATATCTTGTGCACACCTTTGGCTATGAATGTAATAAGTCTTGAAGCTATTTGAGAAACATATTTGGAGGATCCATATTCTAGTCCTATAGCGTTGAAGTGCTACTCAGGTGATCATTCTTCTCCTTGCTAGTTTACTTTGTCTAATTGATATTTATTTTATGAGGCACGTTTATGTCTACCTGATACTTCTTTAAAAGGCATCTCATGTTAGATCTCCGTGGAGGAGGATTTGGTAGCCATTTTGGCAAGGAAGACTTGTGCGTTCGTGGAAGAGTGATATCTTTGCCCACCTATGAGGAGGGATTTCTCCATGGAACACGATCCTATTAACACCATTGCCAATCTCAATAAGGCCGCGGGTTAATTTATCCATGGATTTCTTCATGGGATTGCCAAGAACAAAGTATCATGATTCAATTGTAGTGGTGGTGGGTCATTTCTAAGATGGCTAAGATGGCAAACTTTATGCTGCGTAGGAGGACCATTGATACAACAATATTTGCTCTTTCCTTCTTTCAGGAGATAGTACTATTACATGGGTTCCCCAAGAGCATTACTTCAGATCTTGATACCCGGTTTCGTAGCCATTTTGGGGGGCACTATGGGGGAAATTAGGTGTGAAGTTTTCCATAGTTCTTATCATCCATAGATAGATGCCAAACTGAAGTGATAAATAGAAGTGCAGACAAGATGCTAATAGTTTGGTTGGAGAAAAAGTAAATGTGTAGGTATATGGTGCTACCGCAAGCTAATTTTGTGCATAATAATTCTCTAAATCGTTCAACTGGAAAGACTCTTTTTACAGTGGTTTATGGTATGGCCATTTTGTATTTTTATGATTTAGTACCTTTATTCTATGTGCGACTGTGCAACCAGATGCTATGAGCATGCTTGAATACATGAAGGAACTACATGAGAAGGTTCCAAGAAAGTAGGAGAGCTGTTACAACTATTAGGATCCTGTGAATAAGACACAATCGTATGCAGCTAATGTTGGAGATCTTGTGATAGTGTATCACAAACCTGAACGGATTCCTGTTGGCACTTACATAAAGCTTAAAGTTGGGAAGATTGGACCTTGCAAAATCAAGAGGAGCTCAATGTCAATGCTTTTGAGGTGCGGTTGCCAAGTTCTAGAATATTTCTCTAGTCTTTAGTGCTCTAGATCTATTCGTTTTCCATGGTGATGTTGACCTGATTGATTGGAGCTTCTCTTACCTGGGGAGGATGATGCAAATCTAATTTTATTTATTTTTAGTTTATTTTAAACTTGTCAAATTTTTTTTTTAAGGGCATGGATGGTTTTTTAATTATTGTTATTCCTTAAATTAGGGATTAAAGTGTAAGCGACCAAATTTGTTTTATTAATTGTTATGGGGAAAGATGGTGAATTTGACTCTAGACAATTAGGAGAGTTTGTAGGGAAGTACTAAATTAGTGGATTAAGAGAGGGGAGTACCTAGGTAATCTCCTTTGTCTGGAGGGAGAATGCATGGATGAGGTAGAGAGGGGAAGATGGGGGTTGTCTGCTTGTGAGTGAGAGAGAGAGAGAGTAGAGAGAGAGAGAGAG